AATCTCAACTAGATTTTGCAGTTTAAAGATTACAAATTTATTCAGACAAATTATTTATAGGTTTGTAACTTTGAATGAATCTTTCAAGATCTAATTTTGGGACAAACATGGTACAAGTATTGATTTGATTGAAATAGAAAACTAAAAAGATAATTAAATCTCATAATATATGATATTTGTTATTATTATTTTGTTAAAATAATGTTTTTGTTAATTGTATAAACAAATAATTTGTAAATGGTTGATTAGTATCTGATAATTGAATTAAATGAGTGTGAAATGCTAATTTAAAATTTAATTTTTGGTAATAGGATTTTTTTAATTTTCATAAATTAAAAATTAAAAAAAAAACAAATAATTAGTGTCCATTTATAGATACCGAACGAATAGTTTAATGGATATCCACGGATAAAATAAATAAATATTTAAATACTCGTTTGTTAATAGATGTAGATACGGATTTAATGACATCCGTGCCCGCAGATGTCCATATCCCTTAATAAATTATAAAAATTATTTAAATATCGTTAATTTATTATACCGTATCTTTTCATCATCTAAAAAAATTAACCTTAATATATATATATATATATATATATATATATATATATATATATATATATATATATATATATATATATATATATATATATATATATATATATATATATATATATATATATATATATATATATATATATATATATATATATATATATATATATATATATATATATATATATATATATATATATATATATATATATATATATATATATATATATATATATATATATATAAATTTTTTCTTTGAAGAAAACTTTTTAGATTTCATTTAAATTTTATTAGCTATTTCATATTTAAACTCTTCAATATTTTATTTCTTATTTCAACAATTTCACAGTTCAACAAACTATTTTCGTCATTCCTCCGTTGAACCAGTGTTTTTCTTCCTATTCTTCTATCGTCTGCTCTTCCATCATAACTTACAATTATAATACCTTTTATTTGTTTGGTTAAAAATGAAATATATATCGATATTATGTTTAAATCTAATTATGTTTCGATGAATAAGAAGAAAATTAATGTGATAAAATTTTATTGTTAAATTAAGAACGAATTGTATGGATGTTAGGTGATAATAATTTTTTGTTTCTTTAAAAGAAGTTAAAAATATTTTTTTCAAATAATATTTTTTATAAAAAATTTATTATCCATGAATATCTGTAAATATTCGCGGATACCATAAAATCTACCAATTATCCATTTAACGGATATCCACATGGATATAGAACGGATATGAATATCATATTTATTCAACGAGACAGATACAAATATCATGATATTCTCTCATAAACATGTATTTACATCTCTATTAATTTAAATTAGTGAATAAAAATTTAAAATTGTAATCAATGAGTCAAAGTATTGATCAATTTAATATAAATAATATAATACTTCTTTAGTCCTATTTATAAAATAAAAAAAATTATTAATTGAATAAATAATGTGTCTGAATAAATATATCAGATACATTAGTCAATGAATGAATTTAAAAAACAAATATTTTTCTTATAAATAAAATCAGATAGTACAAAAAATAGAAAAATTATAATACGAGCTAGGACCCTACTATTTAAAATTATTATCGGATTGTTCTTTTTAAAAATAACATAGGCATATTATATAACCTTTTGAAACTCGGTTATTCCATTCCCAGAACAGACAGAGATTATTGTTGAGCTACTTTTAACTAATACATGTTATTTCAGTTTCTAGTTTATTGAGGTATACTGTTGAAAGTATAACTACCAACTCTTAGGAAACTTAATAGGTTTTTTTTTAATTAGATTTCTATTTGAAACTTTAAAATCATGATATCTACAAAAATGACTAGTAATAAAAACAAAAGTTCAAAATTTTCCAAATGAAAAACCTAACATGTCCAGTCCATTGCTATGAATCCGTGGAATCAACTAGAGGTGGCAATAAAATCCATTTAGATATTATCCATCCAATCCATCCAATAATTTATCCATCCAATCCATCCACAAGACAAAAAATAATTTAATGGATTTGATTCAATCCATCCATTAACTCATATGGATGGATTCAATCCATCCATCTCATTTTATAAATCCATTGGATATTATATTATTAGTTAATGGATCTTATAAATCCATTGGATCTTATATTATTAGTTAATGAATCTTATAAATCCATAGAAGTTAAAAAAAATAGATTTATGACATTAAAACACTAAAATTTTCTTATATATTAATTCATTTTTAAAAATAAGAATTCTGAAAACTAGTTATAAAAATTATTAGTCATAATAACATTTAATAGAAAATATGAATATATTATACTATCTCTGTTCTTTTTACAAGGGACAATTTACATTTTTAAGTTTATTACATAATAAATATATTTAATTTAAAAACTGATCAAATATATTAATTATTTAATAAATCTAAAAAATAAATTTTCTCTTATAAAAAATAACGTAAGTAATATATATATTAAAAAACAGAATTTCTTAAAAGATAAAAGTTGGACTCAAACTTAATAATCATAAATTAGATCTAAATATCTATAGTAGATAATGAAAGATCGCATAGGTTATGAAATTTATAATTTTAGTTCTTGAAGAAAATATCATTTATCTGTGTACGCTATAAAAGAATATTTGTTGATGGGTAATAAAACATTAAAATAAAAAATTAACTTTGTAGAGGATCAATGACAGTTTAGTAATTTTAAATATTTCTCTGAATTACTATTTATTTCACTTTTTTTATTTCTTTTTCTTTTTTTACTCTAATTATTTTTATTGAAGTTGATTTAATTTATTTAAAGATGAAAATTATTGGAGATTTTTTTTCTTTTGGTGTTAATAATGTTTGTCTCTCACAAGTGTTCTTTGACACCAACTCTTAATCACAATTTAATTATTCATTTTAATATTAATTTCACATTAATAAGGTAATTAATTATTACCGTTAGACTAACTACTCTTGTACATATAGCCTATTGTATCAGCTATATAATAATTACTTTGAAATATGATATTATTTCTAATAGTGTGGAATTATGTGATTTTAATATGGTATTGTAATTTCTTTTCTCACGTGATTTTTGAAAAGCCATTACCGATGTCACTTTTTCATTACTTTTCATATTCAACATACTTTTTTTTCAATTATTTTTTTTAATTATTTTTTTCTGAAAAATAAATTTTCTTAATAATTACCAATTTTAGAGTTTAATGTAACAATAATTATTTTATAAATAAAATATTTAATTATTTGTTGAAAAGGAAGAAATGAGTGTAATTAAATTTTGAATATATTTTAAAAAATAATTAATGTTATAAAGAAAAATAAATTTTATTAATATTGCAATAATAATTCAATATTAATTTATAGTATAGATGACACTAAATAATTTTGTTTCTCTTATAGTTAGAAGATACAAAATATATTTCACTTTTTAGTTTAATATTATTAAATCACAAATTTAAATTATTTTTTTTTAATATATGTGATATATGCATAAAAATAATATATAAAATTTTAATCAAACACTTGAAGAATGAGTTTTTTTGTAAAATTTAGTTTTTTTTATGAAATTTAAAAAATGATTAAGAATATTAATTTTTTTTTTTTTAAATTTAAGTTTTTTTAAGAATTTTAAAAAATAATTCAAAATATTTAAATTATGTTTTTATGAAATTTAAAAAATAATTAAGAATTTTTAAATTAATTTTTTGGATGGATGGATATCCATCCATTAGAAATATGTTAATGGATGGATTGGATGAATTTTATCTCTTAATGGATGGATTGGATTGGATTTTTATTAAGAGAGTTAGTGGATTGTTAATGGATTAATGGATTGTTTTGATCCATCCATTAACAATTCAATCCATGTCCATCCAATCCATCCATTTTGCCACCCCTAAAATCAACTAGTATAGGAATCCCAGCCCTAACATAGGCCAAAAACAATATTGAAAGTCAACTATTTCTCTCATTAACTAAAAGATTTTGAATTTTTTACTATTGGCCCATGTTTTTACAAAATATATTGGATTCAGTCCATTCAATTCAGAGTTTTTTACTCTTATGTCCTAATTTGATAACATAAATCCTATAATACCTTATTTTCCAAATTTAATACTTATATATCAATTAATAATAATATATTCTAACAATTATACTAATTTAATAATTAAATACTAATTAAAAATATATTATATTAATTAAATATAATAATAAAATATAAGAAGGAATTTATTCAAACAAAAATACATATTAGATATAAATTTTTTCAAAAATGACCCCCCAGATCCACACCTAATGGCCCTTTTTATGTCGATATCTCCTGCCCACACGTTCATTTGTATTCCTTATAGGTAGGTGATTGAGATGAATCGGAAGACATATCTTGATTGTGATGTGTTGTAGGGAGGTCTGCCTGCCTTGAAGGGGAGTCCGCTTGTGTCGAAGGTTGCTCAGCAAGAAGATCATCAATGTTAAAATCTGGCATTTGCATCAGTTGATCCTCTATCGGCAAAAAAATGTTGGAATGAATGTGATGGTTGTGGCGGTTGGGTGTAGGTTTCGGGTTGGATTTGTTGGAGGGTTGGGTAGTAGACATCATCAGGCGTGAAGGTGAAGGTGGGTTGAGAGAATGAAGTGTTCAAGGTTTGATGTTAAAATTGGAGGTTTGATTGATCAAAGTTTGGTGGAGGAACTGAAGTGAACTGTAAGGGTGGTCGAAGGTTGAATTGGAGTTGATATTGTTTGTTGTAGTTGTAGCGGTATTTTTGTTGAGGGAGTGGAGTGTAGGGAGTTTGGTGTTGGGATGAGGATGCATAGTATATGTGTTATTCGGTGGTCTGTGTGCCTTGGTATGTATGTTGGGCTGATGAAACATCCTGACTCAAACGTGTCCTACATTCTGTGCTTCTGAATGAGGCCCCCCATGAAACATCTCTATGATTTCAATCTCACGTCTTTTTCTTGCATGTGGTCCAATGCGTTTCGATACCCTTGTAGATGAAAACGAGGATTAGCATCGTAATTCATGCGTCTTTGGGCCCATCTTGCAGAAACAAAAAATATAAATATGTTAGGCATAGTTGACTAATATATATATATATATATATATATATATATATATATATATATATATATATATATATATATATATATATATATATATATATATATATATATATATATATATATATATATATATATATATATATATATATATATATATATATATATATATATATATATATATATATATATATATATATATATATATATATATATATATATATATATATATATATATGTATGTGTGTGTGTGTGTGTGTGTGTGTGTGTGTGTGTGTGTGTGTGTGTGTGTGTGTGTGTGTGTGTGTGTGTGTGTGTGTGTGTGTGTGTGTGTGTGTGTGTGTGTGTGTGTGTGTGTGTGTGTTTTAATCTAGTAATACCTTTGAGCATATGGATATGACGGCTGCAATGTACTAACAGGAGAAAACAATGGTATATGCGTGAATGCCCAAGAAGTGAGTAGAAGAACACAACCATTCATGCTCCTGACATCTTTGACTGCGGCTTGCACATTTCTCTGTACAGTTTCGCAAGACATGCAGAACCCCAACTAAAGGTATGACATTTTTCTAGATCCCCTACGAAAGGAATCCAAGAAGAATGCAAAAGATTTTGACTCTTGTCGGGAAACAAAATAGTAGCAATTACAAGTAAAATACAAACTTTAGCTTGTAAAATAGTATGTTTTTGGGTTGGGGAAGAGTTATTTTTTAAAACTTTGTATAAATTCTCTAGCCACGCAATCCTAACAGAACTTCTGTTTTTATCCGCTTCTGTAGGTTTCACCCCTAAGTTCTCCATGTAAACATCATTTGTTACTTCGATAGGACCGTTGATAGCTTTTCCATCAACTCGGAAACCAAGTAACATATTCATATCTTCTAACGTTATCGTGCATTCACCTGTTGGGAAATGAAACGTGTGTGTTTCTGGTCTTCATTTCTCTAACAGAGCTACAACTAGGCTGGAGTCAATTTTGAAACTATTTATTTTTGCGATATTAGCAAAACCTGCTATTTCTAAATACGGGATTATTCCTGCACTTTCTTGAATGGGAGCATGAGAATGCACTCGAAACCTTGCATTAGTCTGAAAAAAATGAAATAATAGTGAGCACAAAAATTATAAACATTATTACATAGAATAGTAGAGGAAACCTTACACTAGCTTGAATGCTTGATTGTGTTCCACGGTGTTCATCGCCCGTCCACAATAGACATTTTGATAGAGTGTAAAAATATTTGGAGAAATGCTTAAGTGTTTGTTGTTACTTGAGTGTTTTTTGATAGAAATAGAAATGAATTTATAGATGAAGTAAAAATGTTTGAAGTTTAAATGAGACAAATAGAAGTGACATTACACTGAGTTCTGCATGGCATTGGTAATGGTTAATTGCATGGAATGCATGAAAGGCTATTACGTAGGTCTCACACAATGAACCTTGCATGGAGACCATCTCTGCAGCCTTTATGTGCTCGCCACTTGAGTGGACGATTTGTTGCGTGAGAAGAACATGCTTTCCATCTGGTTGGGCTAGAAGACACTAGGGAAGACCTTGCTCGTCCTTTTAGTGGACGAGCACACACGTGGTGTGTTTTCTTTGCATGCATTCATGAATATATTGTGTATTATATATTGTTTGTTTCTCACGTTTGTATCATCACTCCATATTCCATTAAAAAATCATAGAGTTCTCACATCAAATATGGCTCAAAGAAATATAATAGTCACCTGCCACTTTAATTGTACTATTTCGACAAATAGTACTGTTGGATTCTCCTTCGATAACACAGATACTTACGCATTCAAAATGCATGTCAATTCTGATTTTTTTCATTTCAAAGATAGAATGGAAAAAAATTAGAACGATTCATTGAGGAGATTATTTATCGTCATCCATTCCTTAATGGAGAAGACGGTACAATTTTTTACGTAATGATGTCGATCAGGAACGACGAAGACGTGGAAGCAATGTTTCAGTGCCACATGATGTTTGGTCAGTTACCCACAATTAAACAGTATGTTCGTCTACTGGACAATGCCGAAATATTTCCGATGCAAGAGACACAATCACACCAGTATGAAATGAGCCAAACATCTGATGACGAACCAACACAAAACAACGAATCTTTCATACCAAATGAAGAGGTTGGGGAATCAAGCGACGATGATCTTCAAGAGGTCAGGATGCAAGATATTTTTGGTAACAGCGATGACGAGGACAATGAAGATATAAAAGTCGTGTCTACGCGGGAGATTCGTGGCGAACCAATAAGCTTGTACAACCCACCTGCACATATGCAGAATATATGTATGGAAGATGATGAAACAACCTCTATGTTTGGAGGTGTCATACCAAACCATATAGGTGACGAAATAGATATTGGAATGGAGTTTGAAAACAAGGAAGCTTGTGTTTTCGCTCTACAACATTGGCATATAACACATAGTGTTGACTATTGGGTTTACCAATCTGACAATGAACGATACATAATTAAATGTAAGAAATAAGACTGCAATTTCAAATACAGAGCTTCCTTGAAAAAAGGAACTCAAAATGGGTGATTGGTAAGCTGTCTAGGCCTCACACATGCACTACCACGTCTATGGCACAAGACCATAGGAAGCTCAGTTTAGAAATGATTAGCCACAACATTAGAGAGCTTGTCAACCGAGACGTTTCACTTAAGGTGAAGGTGATCATTGCCCATATTCTTGAAAAATACAGGTGCATAATATCTTACAGGAAAGCATGGATCGCTAAGTGTAAGGCCATAGAGTCGCTCTACAGAAATTGGGAAACATCTTACAACGACCTACCACAGTGGGTATTGGTAATAAAAACCTATCTTCCTGGAACCATTATTGATTTGCAAACCCTACCTGCAATTTTAAATGATGGTTCCCAAATCTCTGGAAAACGAATCTTCCATCGTTTATTTTGGACATTTTGGCCGTGTATAGGCTTCTCCTACTGTAAGTCCATTGTGCAAGTAGACAGAATATGGTTGTATGGAAAGTACAGAGGAACTCTGTTGATGGCGGTGGCACAGAATGGGAACGCAAAAATTTTTGCAATAGCTTTCGCATTGGTCGAAGGTGAAACAAAGGAAGCCCGGAGCTTTTTCCTAAGGAACCTGAGGTTACACGTGACACCACAACCTAATTTGTGCCTAATCTCTAATAGACATGAATCGGTAAAGAGTGCATATAACAATCCCGAAAACGGATGGCAACATCCACCATCTTCACATGTCTACTGCATTAGACACATTGCGCAGAACTTCATGCACGAGATTAAGGACAAGGAACTACACAAAAAACTTATTAACATGGGTAACAAAATACATTTGAGTTATCTGAACTATTTTATCATAATTTTACTATATTTTTCATGCCATTTCTATTACATGTTACACATTGACGCATGCTACATTTTACTACTATCACAGAGAAATCCGAAGAACAGACATTGAGGCCTCACGTTAGATAGACAACATACCTAAGGAGAAGTGGGCTAAAGCATTTGACGGAGGGCAACATTGGGGACATATGACATCTAACTTGGCAGAGGCCATAAACTCTATACTAAAGGCAACCTAAAACCTTCTAATCACTGCATTGATCCAGTCTACATACTATCGCATGGGTTCCCTCTTTGGCAAACGAGGCCACAAATAGACCAAAATGCTAGTTACCGACAAAGTTTCCACGGATGGTTGCAACAAGGGAGTGGTTGATGAAGTATCCAAGGCTAACACACATAATGTCCTGCAATTTGATCGCGAAAGATTCTGTTTCATGGTGCAGCAAAAAATTAATCAGAACGATGGTCGTCCGACGGGCACTTTCAGTGTTGACCTGAGGAATCGTTGGTGTGACTGTGGGAAATTTAAGACATTTCACTTACCTTGCTCCCACGTTATCACAACATGTTCTAGCATACGTCAAGACTACACCATTCACATTCCATAAGTCTACACAGTTCTTAACGTATTCAAAGTCTACAAGGAAAGCTTCCTGAGACTACCGCACAAGGAGAACTGGCCAAAATATGAAGGATTTACACTATGTCACGAAGATTCAATGAGAAGAAATAAGAAGGGACGTCCAACCAGTAGTAGGATTAGAACTGAAATGGACGATGCTGAAAAGGAAAAGAGACAGTGTGGGATTTGCAGAGAAATATGTCATATGCATAGAAATTGTCCAAATGTTGTCGGCCCGTCAAACCGATCGTCTAGATAGTTTTATTTATTTTTCAAATTAATCGGTTTGTAAAGTTTTTTGCTTGCACTTGATTTCTCTTTAATCCAACATTTATTTGTAATGCAAGACAACTTTTAGATTACAACAATACTGGAAGATTGCAACCATGAACTTAATATCAGCTTGTACATACATCATCATGACACAATCATAATCGTCCAACAAATGGTCGAGCATCATGATGCCATAATTTATGTTTTCAAAAATAAAATTAAAACTCAAGAAGCTAAAATACAAGTTAATCAACAACAGCAACCAACACAAGTGGATCTTCAACTCCTCTGTTAACTTCGCCACTATGTGCTGAAAACATACATTGGACATCTTCATCATTTTCTATATGATCCAAGTAATACATGTACGTACTCTCCGGACTTGCATCATTCAACGTTATATACGGACAACGATACTCCATTTTTTTCACCTTCATGCGACAATCACCCAACTGTTGAAACCCCGTGTTAATTGCTGCAACCACAGTTCTGAAATTCCATTGCGTATCCAGGTAAACACTGATTTTTTTCTCTTGTCCATAGAAAACAAGAGCTTGGACAGACATTTTTGAAAAACGAATGATTTGTGTTGATGCGCATTAATCTATTTATAGAAAAATATTACGTTTGAACTCAGTCATTCATTGATTGAGAGTCTGTAAAAACTCGGCAACTCATTGGACGAGCATCAATCATTTTTTAAAATACATGAAAGGAAAAAAAATTAAAATATTATTTAATTCATAACTTATTTTCTTTCTAATTAAAAATAATTATTATAATTAATTAAATATTATAATAAAATGATATATAATGTTTTTTAATATTTTTAATTATTATATAATTATTAAATTAATATAATATGTTTTTAATAATAAAAATTAATATTTTAATTAATTAAACAATATACAAATATGAAAAAGAAAAAAAAAACTACATGTGCTCGCCACTTGAGGGGATGAGCACCTTCATCAACAATATATTTTCATCTGCACGCCACTTGTGTGGATGAACAAGTAGAGAATCTAGGGCATGTCTGATAATTTTTTTCAAAGTAGGGTATTATGAGATTTATATTTTCAAACTAGGGCAGAGCAGTAAAAAAAAACTCTTCAATTCAAGCATATATCCCATATTACTATACTATCAAACAAAAAAACGTACACATAAGATTTGTCGTCCATTGCAAGGACCCTATTAAAAAACAACGCGGCACCGACTAAGTTGTATTTTTTCTTAATTTTTTAATAATTGACATAAATATTATAAATAATTA